GAGAAACTTAAGAAGAAGGAACAGTTTTTCATTTTACTTTGCTTAGCATCCAGCAATAATAAAAATAATTACAATTTATCATTAATATTTAAAATGTGATTTTCATGTTTTGTATGACACAATATTATAATATTTTTTGCACAGTTTCCCTTACTTTTAAAATTATAATTTCAGATTTTCACAGAAAATATGTACTTTTAAAATTTGGCTTTTAAAAATCAAATTCTTCATTAAAGTTTTCAAAAAAAAAAAAAGAATTTCTTAAGGAAAATAACTTACAGACTTTAGAATATAAAATAAATAAAGATGAAAGTACCTGTGTAATAGCTTTTTTGGCAAAAGCCTTGTTAGATTTTAGAAATTTAACCTCATACTGAATAGAACCTGGAAAAAAAAAAAGCACTCCTTTTAAGATCACATTTTAAGTGTTCAGAAAAAACGGCAAAATTTATAATCATCTAAAATTCATTTTATATCACAGTTTTACATTTTTACTTTATTATATAAAATGCAAATCAATAAAAGCATGGTAAACTTTCAATATCTCGAAAAGCAAAAGTACTGTTAAAATGCTGCTGAAGTCAACTCCCTTGCAATCAGTTTAACAGAATAACTGTCCATCCGCAGTACTATACTGAACCCTTTTATTATTATTATTATGCACAATGATTACAACTCCACTTCAAAAATCCTGAAAATTACCTTGGACTGAGAACCTGACATAATTTTAAATAACAGAATATTAATCTGATACACGTGCATACACATGTATTTCCAAACAACGGTTTTTCCAAGCAAAGAGTTTGATTCTTGATTCATTAAATTTAATTTGGTTTCTCAACACTTTAAAAAAATAATTGCTAAGTCTACCTTGTTTTTTCCCTCCTTCTTTTTGATGGGTTAATTTTTGGGAACTGCTGCATTTATATTTTTCTTTGCTAACAACTAAAGCTCAATATTATCAACAAGCCATTTTGGTGTAGGCAATAGCTTTTTGCTTCACCCTATATGAATTAGAACTTGAAATATGCATATTAACAGCGTTGGAAAAGAGGAACTGCTAGTAGGAAGAGAGTTCATGGTATGCAAAAATATTTGATAAGTTCCTACAGCTACTCAATAAATTATTACTAAAATCTTTACTAATAGAATCCTGAGTGGAATTTTCCATTCCAAAGCTTTATATGTGTTTTTGCTTAATGAAAATAACATTTCCTAATCTTCATAATCAACATTCAACGATGCTTTAATTCAGTCATATCACCTATATAATGAAATGAATTTTCAGCAATGAATCCAAAGAAGAAAGCTAAAGCAGATTTTATGAGTTTTGTCAATACTCAATTTTTCTGCTTTTCATATTCTTAAGCTTGAATACTTGAACCCAAAATTTAAAGTACCAATGTTTCCTGTTCCTATAATAAGATGAGTGACCATCTATTTGATAATTCCTGAATTCTTAGTCTACAGATTTTATTTTCATACTTAGAACTCAATCCATAAAATATATCATCATCCAAATTATATAATGAAATACAACAATATATAAGCAGATGATAATAACAACAGTATATTGCTATTGCTACAGTAACAACAGTACATTTTCTATTGCTATATGAAATACATAAATTAAAATTTCTAAATCAATATCTGTAAATGATACAATTGATTGTATCATCTGATGATATCTTTTAAATATTTTAAAAAGAATAACCTGGTTTTGCTCCACCTTTTGCAGCTGGTACTAATTGATAAAATAGTAGAGTTCCAGATTTTGTTCCCACAAGCAAGTAGTCATCTAGAAATACAAACTATTTTAACACAAAAGTACTTTTATATGCCATGCACTGATCTACATCCAGTCAAATAACATACTTTACTTAAAGATACAACACTATTTACAGACTAAAAATATACTTAAAGATTCCCTAAGTCTATGAAATAAATAATATCTAATTAAGCTATTTACACCATAATTATAACTTGAATATAAACTCAGATTATTAACTTCTAAACATTTCAGTAAGATTAAATTCAATATCTACATCAGCAAAATTGTAAATCTTCTAAAACTGGACTGCTGCCTTATTAAGAGCCTAGTACCTTCTTATGACTGTATAGTGATATCATGTTTATCCATTACTCATACTAAATCACACTGTCGGGTTCAAATCCCAGGATATGGGCTGATTACATAGCAATTTTCATGGCTTTTCAGATGTATAATGTGAATACAAGCCAACTTCCTTAAAACATTATTCCATGAAAGCATCCTTCCCATTAGGTGGATACCTTACTATACTTTGCTGTAATCAAATAATCCAAATTATTGGAAGATATCCTAATCCCACAACATCAACATATTTGAAGCCTTGGATATTCCCAGTAGAGGATAGGAGGAAATTCTAACTGAAAATGTTTCTTAGAAACCGACCAAAGATTCAAAAGAAAGCAGCCTCCTATGATGTACTTGTTCTGAAAAGAAAGTATGGAATTTTGATAGTCAAAAGCAGGAATTCTAAGAAACTTAAAACATGTGATATTTATAAAATGAGAATGATAATGCAAAGTTGAATTATCATAAGAGTTGTTCATGTTGTTCCTATTGCTCACTTGTCTGACCTACAGTCAGCCCAAATCGACACAATTCCTGGTGGCAAGAAGCGCAAGTTTACACCTGCCATTAGCAACAGCCTTGAGCACCTTGCAGGTGACAGCTGACAGTGTGATTTAGCTCAGGATTGCCAACCCCCCCCCAATTTTCATGGACAGCACCCTGGTGGGATAGGTTTGAGGGTCTCCCACTTCTCTTCTTCCACCACAACCTCTTGAAAGGACTTTCAGCTTGCCACATATTTAGAGTGCCCCCATGCTGCACGGACACTAAAGTCCAAAATCCAGATGTCCATTATCCGGAATGATCTAAAATCCAGCTCTCAAAGCCACAAACTTTTTTTTATGTGCTTTAAACATGCGCATTTGATTTTTCCTTCCATAATAAAACATGTGGAGATTTTTAAAAATTCCGATTCTTAATTTCACTTAGGCACTAAATAAAATAACTCGCTATGGAAAAACAATCATGTAAGCATAAATTTGTGAGATTAATACAGTCTAAGGTCTTTAATCTGGACACGTTGGGACTTCGGCGATTTCAGATTATTGGTTTTTCCAGATTATAGACCATCAGTTTAAATCTGGTAAGACAGCATGCAGAAATTATAAAATTAAAAATATGAAACCGTAATTTATGAAATAAAGAGCAATTATGATCTAAAGGGTATCAAAATTTACCCAAAAAAAAGCTTAATATTTATTTGTTTACTTTATTAAACATTTCTTTCAACATGTGAATGCGTAAAGCATACATTATGCATAGTCGAAATTAGAAAATTGCAACCAGAAAACTATTTGATGAGTATTTGTGATAATTTATAATGACGAGGAATTTGATTTAAATCATATCACAGATGGAGTTCATCGAGATGAAATACTACATTTAGTAAGGAATTATAAGCCGAATAAAATAAAAACACCTGCCCTGAAGATAAGGATAGTGATGACAGATCAACTTCCAGTTCATTGCCCCCCCCCCCCCCCCCCCCCCGCAGAGCAGCGTGAAATTGAAAAACAGATTTCAGAATGGTTAGAGAATCAAAGGATATGCCTTTATACATTTTTTGCAGCAATTCCACTTTTTGTTTTATGGACATCGAAACATGCTTTCGCTTTGTAGATCCTTTGGTAGCTCCAGAATAGGAAATTTTTTTTGACATAATCGAAAGTTCAAGCTTACTTTTATAAAATTGCTCTAACAGTCTGCAAAAAATAATAAGCCGGATTCAATTAGAAGATTAAGGAACAACGCTATCTGCAACATTAACTGAAATAGATAATTATATAATTTTCGCTTAACTTATACCGTAGGCTATACATTAAACGTGCATGTGTAAAGGTATTATGCACATGCGTTAACGCATTATGCGTTGATGCCTGCGCAGAAAGTTTGTAGCTATGAGGTCCGGATTATAGACGTCTGGATTAAAGACTTTTGACTGTAATTTGGCTCCATAATTGAGTACTGCTTGGCATACATCTCAAACCGAAACATTCACCTATTTTATATTCCTGAAGCCAACCTGGCGAGTCATTATTTATTATATTTTGCTTTCATCATCGCATGCTTATCAATACAGGACAGCTTCAGTAATAACTCATGCAGCAATGTCTAAACTTTTTTATTTATATTAGTAATTGAATAACAAGAGTATGGCAACCTTTTATGCTAACATTACGCTTGGCGATGATTATAGATTTTTTAAAGCTCCAAGAAATGTTGACGAGAAATAATTTAACAAAAATTTCTTTTCATATACTAAAAATAGATTTTATTAATGAAATTCATAGGACAAAAGATTACATTTAGCGCTATTTTAATTAAGAATAACTGATACGTTATTTACCATAAACCTAGAAGTGGCGGCAGAATATGTCGGAACCGGACGGCAGAATTTAGGGAAAAGGAAATTTTTGGAATTTGGGGAAGCACCGAGCGGCAAAATTAAAGGATGAGAAGTTTTTTATAATTTAGGGAAAGAACTGGGATGCAAAGTTTAGGTGCGGTGAAAATTTAAAACTTAGGAAGGCACTTTATAGCAGAATTTAGGATCCGTAGAGACTGCACCAGGCGGAATTTATCGCCGGCCCTAGATAAGGTGTTAAGTATACGTGAGAGTTTATTTATTCAGGACTCAGATTAGTTTTAAACGTGCTAGAAATAAACGTAGGTATAATAAATAACTAAATAACAATTCAGGCTTAATTCAGTATGCAATAGGAGCAAGACAAAATTTAGAGAAACAACTTGCTTTCTTCGCCAATCTTGTGATACATAGCCAATAATGTATAATGGACGCTATTAAGTTAGGTTAAAATTATCTTTACTGATTCTAAGGCATTTCAGTTAACGTAGTAGACTGTGCTGCTCCCTAATCTTCTATTTTGATCCAGCTTATTATTTTTTGCAGACTGTTATTATTACGGCAATTTTATAAAAACTAGGCTTGAACTTTCGATTATGTCGAAAAGAGTTTCCAACTCTGGAGCTGCCAAAGGATCTATAAAGCGAAACCATGTCCATTAAACAAAAAGTGAAATTGCTGCAAAAAATGGATAAAGACATATCCGTCTCAAAACTATGGGAGGAGTAAGGCATTGGAAAGTCAACTAACTGTATATGACATAAGAAAAAAGAAAAAGGAACTTTTTGAATATGTTGTGGAAGCAACTTACATTGAAAGAAATGTTTAATAAAGTAAACAAATAAATATTAAGCTTCTTCTTTCTTTTTTTTTTTTTTTTTTTTTGTAAATTTTAATACCCTTTAGATCATAATTGTTCTTTATTTCATAAATTACGATTTCATATTTTTAATTGTGTAATTTCTGCATACCATCTTACCAGATTTAAATTGATGATCTAATGTTTGGAAAAATCCCAAATCCAGAATTGCCGAAGTCCTGACAAGTCCGGATTTCGGACTTTGTACTGTATTACATTTACAAACATCCATATCTTCTCCGGGATTCGAACCGAGGCCCTTCGGCACAGCAGTCAGAGACGCCAACCACTATACTGGTTGGGCGGCTCTCATAAGAATACTCAGATCTTTAGGAAGCATATCAATTCATTTCTATCTCTGATAGATTTAGCACTGCAGCCTGTGCAGCTGCATAGGTAGCAAAACTTTTTTCAGTAAATTGGAAAAAAGGTCTAATGTTGGTTCTGATGCCTGATAACAAACAGAGAAAAATGGCAATCTTAATCATTTTTTAGAGATAAGCTATTTTTAGAAAGGTGACATGATTATTTTTAGTCTTTTCTCTAGAATAAAGGAAGAGAATTTTTCTTTAACAGTTTTAACAGTCTTATGAGCGGATGAACAGGTAAAATCTCTAAACATTAAGAGCTTAATTTGGGTTTTATAAAAAAAATTTCTCTTACTCAAATCTTGCTTCAAAATTGCATGAACTATATTCTTAAGTATGTTTATCTCATCCATAAATACCAAAAATATGGCAGTTCTCTCAAATATTGGAAGTGGGAGTGTAGATAATCGGAAAGTAAGAAATTTTTTCTTAAATTCTCCTACAGTGTTATTTTTTATCTTTTGGGTGATATAAAACTACATTGAGGGGGAAAAATTGCATGTTTTAAGTAAAAAGCTAAGTTCATCTATCTGGAATTGAACTAACCAGAAAACTCAAGTAACCAGAACATTTTAGAATTAAAAAAAAAAAAAAAAAATTCCTCTGAAAAATTCAGTTACTGAGAGATTTGAAATGCCAATATAGAGCTTCTTGTGCATATACATTGTCACCAAGCAGTGTGATTTAGCACCTATTAACATAACATCATAATACAGTCATAAAAAGTTACTGGATTAATTCTTTATAAGGCAGTTCAGTATTTGTGAAGGACATAAGCTGTGTTTTGAAAGAATGATTATTATTTGAGACAGCATCCAGTGGAGCACTTTGGAGTTACTGGATCTGGACATAAAATAAAGCTCACACGACTTAGAAAATGGATGAGCTATGGTGATGTAATAAGAAAAATTATGATTTACATGGTATACAATTTAAGTTTTTTTTATATGCTACATCTGTCATTTGTATCTGTTTGCTATCTAACTAAATAAAGAATAATAAGTTTAAAATTCTGCCAGAATGATTGGCAACATTTCCACCACCTTTTATGTTGGGCAGGATTCTATAATCAGATCAGATATTTTACTTT